CCCACTCAACCATCTCGCTGCACTACCCTCCAGGTAGGAAGCAGCCACAAGCACTTCTTCGTGTGGCAAGGTGAGTTTACACCTGACATAGACCGACACTGCCCTCAACCATGTGTCGAGATCTTCGCCTCTCTTGTCCCCTGTAAAGGGTTTGGGAGCGGCGATGGCCGTCTTTGGAACCCACTGTGTTTGTCCCGGTCCCTGCATCAATCCAGGCTGTGGACCTGGTGAAACAGGTTGCTGTGCTAGCTGCTGGGGCTGTGTGCCCTGAGGCTGCACTGGCTGCGAGACAACAGGCTGCGTGGTGACTGCAACTTGAGACGGAGTTGGAGTAAACACTGTTTGTACAGGAACCTGTAGACTACTCCCTGCTGTTACCCCTCCTGATAGCGGCATGCCCAGGGAAACTATTGCAACCTTTGAAGGGGCTACATATGGGGATACCCCTGTCACCGGTGGGACAGAAAAAGGAGGATATGGCACGGGCCAGGCACCAGGCCCTGCTGGTGATGGTGCTGCCTGAGCACGGCCTGCCAACACGGCTAGGCTTTGTTGAATGTTATGAAGGATGGTAGTTTGATGCTCCTGCATCTCAATTACACCTAGCAGGGCCCTTCTAACTACCTTCACATCATCATCCATATGCGTCAGGTCCATCGTCTCTAACTCCTCTATGTCTGTCACTCTTCGTTGCAACCTGTTTTTTCTTCTAATCATCATTTCCTTCTCTCTTTTTATCTGTCCTAAGGCCTGTTGTAGCTGTGCCTTTTGCAGGGCTGCCTGCTGGATGGCGACATCCTCTGGGGTCAACACCGCGGGCTGGCTTGCCATTAAGCCAGTGGACTGACTCACGGTCTGCGCGACCGTAGACCCGGCGGTACCTGAACTACCGGCTGGGGAAGTCTGCTGTGCAGACGTGCTCATGGCTGTGGTAGCCATGGCTGCTGTAGCACCGGCCTCGCTAGCTAATGCCCTGCTGGCCTCGGCTGCTCTAGCTCTCCTCTGCTGCTGCCTCTCCCGCTGCCGGCGGAACAGTTCCCTATCACCCCCCGGTCCTAGGGACACGTGAGATATCGGGCCTCTAGCTGATCGCAAGATCCTGCGGTCGTCCTCTCCGGGGTTCGCACTGTCGCTCATAGGCTACAACATTGTGCACCGCCTACACTAGATCATTCAAGATGCCTACCGCAGCGTAGTGCATAGACCAACTAATTATTGGTGGCTATTTTGGAACAGACCTCATTTGGGGTCAACAGGTAAGTCAGATTCCTACCGTCAATCCTATCTTTAGTAAGATTAGTTCTCAAACAGAGGAAGCATCAGGAATAAACAATATTCTAAACTAATGCTGTCTGTCAGATGTCACATGGCTGTCCATCTAACTAATGAAAAATAAAAATAATGTTGACTGACTGGGTTTGTTCATAGCATGGAATTAAAACCCGAACTTATCACCTGGAACCTACCCCTCCCTTTGTTCTTCTCAAAGTCACGGTGTCACGTTTCTTCGCATCAGAAGCCAAGCGTGTCTTAAAGGTGTGCAATCCGGTCCCACCCCTGTGCCCCGGGTTATCGTCGAGCAAGGCAGCCACGACACTCTTATCCACCCTCATACGCCGACGAGCCTTCCACTCGGATGATCTGGCTGATCAAGAGGCAATTTAACGTCCGCCCCCAAGTGACATCAGGAATTATTTTACGTTGCAGCAGGACGACGATCACAGCCAGATCAGAGCCGAGTCCCCGGCCGGAAATGTTTATAGACGGTCTGGTAAGCGTCTGTAGAGGCTGCCACACTCGAGTTAACCCCTATCATGCGCAAGCAGCAGAACCAAGACTTGCAGCGAAGCATGCGTGTACTACACCCAGTGGGTTGGCATGGTGACAGTGACCCAGTGCTTCGTCCAGGGCCCTTCAAGAAGCTCCGCCCGTCTTCCCCCAGATGCTCCACGTGAACAATCACGACTCTCAAGGTTGAGCGCACACGACACCTCACGATGAGAGCCTGTCTTCTCCCAGATGCTCCACGTGAACAATCACGACTCTCAAGGTTGAGCGCACACGACACCTCACGATGAGAGGACTCTCAAGACAGAACTCACAACCTCACGGTAAGAAGTGATG